TGGACCCCCTTTCCCTTTTCCCAGCCCATGGAGCCAAGGCCAAGAGCTCAGGCAGCTGCTGAGGATGAGGGGTTTCAGGGGTTGGGGGGCAGCACCCCACACCTGCATCCTTCCCATGGCAGGTGAAGGGCTTGGCTGGGCGCAGCGTCGCCAGGTGCCTGCTGACAGTCGTGCCATGGGCTCCCTTGGCACGGGGTAAAGGGGGCAGGGGAAGACAATTGGGCCATAAAGATCCACCGATGATAATTTCCCTCTTTTCCTTCTCTTTGCCCTGTTTATTGATGGTGGGGATTATGGTTGGCAAAGTTTGTGCTGGGGAAAAGCCAGGCGAGAAGCCCTCCGTGGGCTCCCCTCCACAGGCTCCTTGAGGAGCATCTCAGCTGCTAGACTGGGATTAAAGGGTGCTGCTGGGGACCCTTGGTGCCTCAGGGTGCCACCCGCACCGAAGTCCCATGGGTGAGCAGGTCAGGGGCTACCAGAGCTCCCAGGGATCCCCAGCTGGATAAGAGGAGGTGGCAGTACCCTCTCCATCCATCCCAGAGACCCCCAGCACCAAACCCAACCTGGGGAGCTCCTGCTAGTCCTCCAGACCTGAGATTCCTGGTGGAAACCATGCGGATGCAGCGGAGAGGGAGGGCAGCCAGGGTTCCCCCGACGCTCCCTTGGGCTCGGTGCTGCTATCCGTGATCGAGTGATGCCATCTCCTGGAAGCAAGAGGGCTGGGGAAGGGAGGGCTGGGAGGTCCCCAGGGCCAGGCTGCAAGCACCTATCACAGTTGGAGCAGGTTTGCAGGGGAGACCACCCCTCCATCCCCTCCTCCCATGGAGGAGACACTCACTCCAGAAAACCAAGCCCTGTCTTATCCCCCTGCTTGCTCTGAACTCCTGCCGTGGTTTCAGCAGAACAGGGAGATGCCCACAGAGGGTCAAGTAGGTGCCTCCCCTCACTCTCCGTTCCCCCTCAGAGCCTCCTGCTCCACCACCACCCCAGCAGCCCCATGAGCCCATGGCCTCCCCACTCCCCCAGCCCCTGTTGCTCCCAAAGGCAAACCTATGGCCTCAGACCAGCACATCCCAGAGCTGCATGGCCCCACACACACCCCAGCCCAGCCAGCACCTTCCTCCCCTTCCCCAGCTTCTCCTGCCGCCCTCTTGCAGGAGGAGGAGAGGGAGAGCAGAGCCCGTCTCCTGTCCCTCATTCCTACCGTGCACCTCTGGAGCAGCATCCCAGAGAGCAAAGGAGGGATGGGGCAAACACAGCCGCCCCAACAAATGCCCCAAGAGCATTCCCTCTTCTCTGTCAACGGAGATATCAGTGCAACCCTCTTGCAGAGGACAACCCCTTGCCCCAGCTCCATCAGCCCCATTGCAAATTCCTGTGTGCCCTTTGTTTTTTCCCAGATGCCTGAACCACACCTCTGCTTGCACTTGTGTCCCTGTGCTGTGGAGGGCTCTGCAGAGCTGGTCCCCAGAGAGATGGGTGCTGGACCAGGATAGTCCAAATTGATGTGCTGCCAGCACTGCTGTACGGCCTCCCTCTCCCTTCCCTAGGGCTTGGTGCTGCTCGTCGGGATATGGATCAACTTTCCTGGCAAAATGCAAATGCCACAAGTCTGGGGACTATCCTTAAGAGGGCATTTGGCATAGGGACACACTCTGGCATCTCTCATTGTTTTCCAGCATGTGCAGGGCCCCAGCTCTCATCGGGTTGGTGATGAGATTCCCCCTGCACCAGCACAGAGCTGGGTGCTTGCCGTGCAGCTGTCGGGTGCTGAGCACGGCTCACCCACCCAGTCTGTGATGGGAGATGCGGGGTGCTGAAGGTGGCCAGGCCAGGCAGGGAGCATCCTGGCCGCACTTCACTCCTTCACCGTGTTTCAGGCGCTGCGTAATCAGAGGGTTAACAATTCCCACATTAAGTGACTGCAGATGTGTGGGAAAGTCTGGGGCGACCGGACGGCATCGCTATTAGTATTCACCCAGGAGCCTGTCGCCGCCTCCTGGGGCTCCGCAGAGCACATTTAATACCAAGGCTCATCGTGGGGGTTAGGAAGAGTGTATGGGACGGGGGTGGAAAGGTTCCAACGGGGGGAAAGGCAGCGGGCTAGTATCCTCTGCCACTGGCTAGTGCCTCCTCCAAGCACCTGAACCCAGGGGATGTAGGGGATGGGCCAGCATCTGTAGGGACACAGCACTGGATGGTGTATGGCTCAGTGCTACCTCCCAACACCGCTGTCACCCTGCAGTGTCCATGGCTGGCGTTCATGGTGCTGCAGGATGCTCCCTAGCCTGGGATGCTCCCCAGGGTGTCGTGCGGGGTCATACAGTCGCTTT